TTTTAAGATAAGGCATAAGCCATATTGAAGAATAGAGCCTCTAGTTTTCATCATAAATCTTTCTTCATCATTTTCAGCAGGCAAAGCTCTGTCTTCTGCATATTCTAAGCTGTTAATGTTCTATTCTGATGATGTATTGTTCTTCCAGCTTCTTGGATTATGCACTCAGCATACAGATTTAGTAAGTATAATGGACAACCCGGCCACACACTTTTCCTGATTTTAAACCATGCAGTATCCCCTTGTTCTATTCAAATGACTGCCTCTTGGTCCATGTACAGGTTCTACATGGGCACAATTAAGTATTCTGGAATTCCTACTCTTTGCAATGTTACCATAATTTGTTGTGATAGAGTTGAATGTCTTTCCTTAGTCAATAAAATCGGCCAATTTATTTCTGGTATTCTCTTCTTTCAGTCATGGTCTATCTAACATAAACCATGATATCACAGTCAACACACATTTTAGTGCCTCAAATGTTAGACTTGTTTCTGGGTGTATTTGAGCTGGTGATTCCAAAAAATAGCACGTTTTCTCCTATCCGAGCTAGTTCTTGAGATACAACAGAACATATGCACTGTACCACTCTTTACTCTGCTTACTCATTTAAAAAAATGAGGACATTTTAATGTAGTATTTAAATTGCTATCTTTTAAACATGAAGGAGCCAGTAAAAGTGAAAAGTTTTACTATTTTCAAACTTAATCCACAGATTTCTGATCAAACTTTCCAGTCACAAGAAGCTGCTTTTGTAAGGGTTCCAAGCATGGGATTTGTCAGGATAATCTAGCATAAGATTCCTTGAGTCTGCCTTCACATGTATCTCATCTTCCTTGGTATTTGGCTTCCACTGTTTTTGTCCTGGTGAACTCTGCCATCTTATTTTTCGATTACGGTTAAGTCTTCAAGTTTCTCTAGAAAGCGATCTAAGTGGCTGTGCAGATAATGTACATTCACATTACAGCCAAGCCTGCTGAGAAGCAAGAGCAAGCATATCCTCTACTAATTGTCTGCCTTCTTGTTGCCACGAAAAATTTTCAAAACAAGAACAAATGAAGACCAGGCACGTAAATCGCCGCCAGTAATGGATGTTTAGAAATGTGGATCATTTATAAGTTGTATGCTCTGAGAACTAATCCAAACTCCTGCCTTCAGTTTTCCATGGTAAGTCCAGGTAACTTATGCGCTGTGTATTAAATAATGCATGAATCGTCTTTACACAAGGCCTTGACAAATTGTTTTATCAGGCCCAGCTTTAAATGCAGTCATGGAAGTATGATTCCATTTCATGCTGCCAAAGATTCCTTGATCATATTTTGTTCTCCAACCACCGCATACTCCATCAGAGGTCAATCTTTTCTTGCCCAATGTTCATGTTTGGTGCTACTATCCAGAAGGCATAAAAAGCAAGGACATTTTGTGTAGCCACTTTATTGACCAAGAAGAAAATTATCAATCTTCAAATCTATACAAACCACTCACTGATGTTCTTGATAATTTATCATATCCAAGACTAAAGAGATGGTCTTGTACTCTTCTTTCATCCAGGTGGGGTGAGTGACTGGAATAGAAACATTAGTTTTTGCTATTATTTAAAAGAGCACATTTCAAACTATGTTTGAAAGTGTCAATGAAAAGATGCCACTCAAAAAAAAAAAAAAGAAGAAGAAAAGATGCCACTCACTTGGATTATATTCTGAAAGACCAATTTCCTTCAGGTTTCTGATGTCATTGCTGAAAACAAAATTGTTGCCCTCAGTAAATCTTTTTCTCTCCTTCAATAAAATGTAAATTTTGTTCCAGGTTGAAGTATATTCTTTTCCTTTCATCTGGAGGCAAGCAATTCTAAAGACTGCTTGGAAAGATTTAAGTCTTGTGATCAGATCACTCGATTCATTCTGGTCAGGACATTCACTATGTAAAGTGCTGGGAAATCACTGTCATTACTTTCTTTATCTTGTGCGGTATCAGGCATGCAAGACCATCCTCTGAGAGCTGTGGTAGTTTAGGGAAAGGAAGAACAGGTACAAGATCCTAGTGCAGAACACTGTATGTCATAGGAAAGGAAGGAGAGGAATAATTGTGAAACAAAGGTCACTAGACACACAAAAAAAGTGGGTAATTTAAGTACATAGGAAAGGCTGTTATGGCATCTCAATTCTGCAGAAGAGATCTTTCGAAGAACAGACTAAAAGTTTATAAGTTCAACCATATCTAAGAAACTAGAGCTAATGTGATATTTCTGATGCAATTTTCTGAATCAATGTCCCAAATAACCCCAGGAAGCAGCCTGAAAACTAAGACACCAAGAAAAAAAATGTTGTTGTGGGACTGTTATTAAACTTGAGCTTTCTTGACATGTTGATAATAGTTGGCAGTACTGACTAGCCATTTCTTGATTAGGTCTTTTCTGAATACATTACTTGAACATAAACACTGATCCCACAACCCAGCATTCCCTATTCTTCTCAGTTCTTTCCTTCAAAGCACTTGTCTTCATTTGATTCACTATACACTTACACATGTATATACTTTCTCCTTCTCTCTTTAGCAGAATGCTAGCTCTCTAACAAAAGGGAAACATCTTGTACTTAGTGCTATTTTCCCAAGGTTGGTATATAATAGACAGTCAATGAATAATTTGGATGGTGCTGTGGAGGGTGCTGACATACAGATGGAGAACTAGTGGCGCTGTCACTTATGTGTTGGATTCCTATCTAAAAGGCTGGCGGTTCATACTCACCAAATGCTCAGTGGGAGAAAGATGAGGCTATCTGCTCCTGTAGAGATGTGCAGCTTTGGAAACCCTATATGGGTGCATATGAGTCAGAACTGACTCAGTGACAGTAGGTTTGAATGTAGCTGGAGAGAAATATGTGGATTTGAGGAACATTTTGGAGATAAAATGGACAAAACTTGGTAGTAATGTGGCTATAGAAGTATGAACAACAGGAAGGAATGAAGGAGAATGCTGTATTCAAACTGTCACAAGTGGATGACAGTAACATCCTTTACCAAGATAGCGAATACTCCAAATGAATTAGATTCACAGGGTACACTGCGTTATCTAGTTTTAGGTATGAGTTTGAGGGAGGACCCCTGGTGGCATAGTAACACCCAGTTGCTGACTAAAAAGCAGGTTGTTTGAATCCACCAGCTTCTCTGTGGGAGATGTGGCAGTCTGCTTCAATAAAGACTTACAGTCTTGCAAATTCCATGGGTGGTTCTACTCTGTCCTTAGGGTTGCCAACTTTTAAGATAAATGAAAGCTGAGCACTAATGCTGGATGGAGCTATATATTTAGGAGTCAACTGCAAATAAATAGATGTAAATTAAATCATAAAGTATCAGAATATAGTGGTGTGTTAAGTGTTGGACTGCCAACCTCCAGGTCAGTGGTTCAAACCTACCAGCTGTTCCACATGAGACAGTTGAGACAGTCTGCTCCCATCTTGGAAACCCAATGGAACAGTTCTATTGCCCTATGAGTCAGAATCAACTCAATGGCAGTGGCTTCGTTTGGGAGCTGAATGATGCACATGGGAACAGATGAGAACACATTCATCTATGGAGTGAATGGGAAGCTAGCCTCCAGAAACTACCCTATCCTTTGGGGACTAGGTGAAAAAGGGTAAGCCCACAAAAAAAAAAAAAAAAAGAATGTTTTATTTTGAAAATCGTCCGTATAAGAATAGTTATAGCCATCTTTATTCTGATTCGAACCAGTAATCTGATAATGCTGTATAGCTAGCCAAATGAGACCAATTCACTGGTCTCTTTCAGAAACTACCTCAAGAGTTCATAGTACCTGTCTTTGAAATATTATCACTATACAAAATGCCAATCCTCCTAAAATATCGATGATTTTCGTACTTCAGTTTTCTTAAAGTACCATACCTCTCTCATTTCTGGGTCTCAGCATAGGCTCTTCCTTTGGGTTCCACTTTCCCTGGTGGGGGGTGGGGGTATTCCCCTGGTTTTGCAAGCTTGACTAGGTGGCCCTCTTCTTAGACATCCCAAAGAAAACGATATAATGTAGTGTTTTGGTCTTGTTTGCTTAACTTCCGAATGTATCTTACACTGGCTCTCAAGTGAACAACAACAAAACAGCAAAGACAAAAAAGACTCACTGCCATCCAGTTGGTTGCAAGTCATAGCGACACTAGAGGGCAGAACAAAACTGCCCTGTGGGAAAATATTTGAGTAGAAAGCCACATCTCTTTCTAGGGGAGTGACTGGGGGTTGGCACTGCAGACCTCAAGATGAGCAGCCCCACTAGTAACCCACTCACTATGTCACCAGGACTCCTTACCCTGTGCCTACCAGGTCTGAGGCCTCTTTATAGAACTCACCTGTGCTGTAACCTTAAGCACTAATTCGAATCTATCAGTCCACTGATGGCTTTTCGAAGCTCAACTTTCTCAAAGGGTGTGACTTTAAGAAAAATCAAACAATAATTTGTAAACAAGTGATCGAATATTTTAAAGATATTCAATTCTAGAGGTGTCAATAGATCTTTTCATATAGTATCCTTAAAGCCTTCAAGAGCTGAGGTCTAGGATTTTGTCTTTTCCTTTTTCAAGTTTTATCCCAACGGATTTGGCAAGTTGCTCTTAAGGCCTGATGGGGTTCATTCGATTGATGAAGAAAAGCTATACACTAACAAGAATAAACAAAGGCTCGATTGCGAAGGGATCCCTAATCCAGGGCGCACGTGCTCACGAGAGAAGGGTCGTGCAGAGGCAGCAGTGAGGACACTCGCTCTCACTTTAGCTTTTTTGCACCACCGCTTCCCGAAATCCAAGGGATTCGACCTCCAAATCTTTGCCTCACCAAGCACGCGGGTTTCCCACTCAGGTTATTGGGTAAAGTCCCTGGACTGAGAGCAACAGCCCTAGATAGCTTTGTCTCCAAAATATCAGAAGGAGGAAGAAAAAAAAATCTTATATACATCGTCAAAGATAGTCGGGAAAGGAGGCAGCCAAGCCACCATTGCTCACCGAGCCGAAGATCTCTGTCAACCCGCGCTTCTTAACTGTTGGCTCCAAGGCCGCCACAGACTACGTTGCGGTGGCCTCTGGGGGTTGTAGTTTCTGTCCTGAAAAGAACGACCGCGACATAAAACTACACTTCCCAGAAGTCAACGCGAGGACTCCCTGCCGCCTTTAAGTCTGGGGTTTGGCGTAATAAAGAGGCCGTTACTATCTTTAGACTATTCGTAAATTTAGCCTGTTTCTTCCAGGGATTCTCCGTGTTCTCTTTTCCCCCTCTTCTTGTCTTTGATAAAATTTCAGCGTACTTTCAATTCTTACTTTTTTCCCCCCTTTTCCACTCAGGGGACAAGAATCGCTTAGAAACGGAAATCGCCCCCGGCACAGACTAAATGCCTCCTAAAGCGCATGCGCCCTCTTTAGGGTTACGCATGCGTAGGGACCGGCAGCGGTTGGCAGCCGCGCGCAGAGTCGGGGTCTGGAGGTAGCCTGCCGGAGGGCGGGGCTCTTTCCAATGGCTTTGCCTCAGCGGGTCGCGTCTGTCGGGGCGGGGAAGAGGGCGCAGGGGCAGGGGCGGCTCCAGGTTTGCGCCGGGCGGAGAAAGGGGAGGGGTTGGGGATGAGGACCCTATCTCCCCTCCCTGCTCCCGCCCTCTGGGCCAAGCCCCACCGATGGGGCTGGGTGAAGGGGCGGGCTCTGCGCCTGGGGCCCAGGCCTGTGCGGGGCTGCACGGTGCCGGTCTGGCGTGGCCAGCGGTGGGCGAGGGCGCAGGGACTGAAGAAGAGCAGGCGTCTTCCGAGGGACTGTAATCGGCGGACCCGAAGGCGCGCTCTTCTGCCCTCAGCCGCTGCCAGCGAGCCTGCAGCTGCAGGAGGCTCCCGCGCCGGAGAGCGCCCCGTTCTCCGACGGCGGTGGCCAGTGGGGGCCAGGGTTGGGCGGCGAGCAGTCCCCGCCGGCGCTCAGCTGTCCGCCGGGGCGCTGGGCGGAGCTGCGGAGGCCGGGGCGGGGCGCCGGAGGAGCGCGGGGTCGCTACGCTCCCGGGGACGCGGTGGCTGCTCAGACCAAAACCCCGGCTGACTGGAGCGCGGCCCGCTGGTGGCAGCCGCTTGGGGCAGAGCACGGATTTGACAGCTCCACGGTCGGAGGATCTCGGCTGACCCGGCGAGACGGAAGAGAACGCGCCGCGGAGATTCCGCCCCCGGCCGGGCCAGCGCCTGCAGCGTGCAACTTTCCAACTTGTTTTTCTTCTGTTTTTCGTTCTCCCTTCAACCTCGAACCAGAAGGCTCGCCCCCTCCGTGCAGAGGGCGAAGGGTGGGCGCTCCCTCCCTGGTGGATCGGTGGAAGGCATCGATGTAACAGACAAACTGGTGCCACATGCCACCCAAACGTTCGCTTTCTTGACGACTCCCGTTTCGCGGACCTGACTCGTACAACTTCTGATTGCAAAGCAAACACGAAACACACCAAGTGCTTGGCAGCCATGGTGAAAGGTAATTAACTGAGCCCCCCGCCCCCCGAAAAGGACATGGCAGAAGAGGAGAACGAAGTGAGGTGGGACGGACTGTGCAGTCGAGATTCGAGCGCCCGGGAGACGGCCCTGGAAAACATTAGGCAGATCGTGGCGAGGAAGGTCGAGCACCTCCGCGCATCGAGACTGACCGGGTCTCGGGCGCCCGACGCCGCTCTGGACGCCGTCAATCGGCTGCTGGCTCACCTGCTCATGCTGTCGCAGAGGTGCCCCTTTCAGGACGTCAGGGAGAAAAGCGAGCTCATTCTGAAGAGCGCCCAGGTAAGCAGAGCGTTATGAGCACACCTGTCGAGCGGCCGCGGTTTTTATCAAACGGAATTTTGGGAAATCACCCCTGGAAGCATGAACGAAAGTGAAAAAAGAAGAGTGGGCAGAAGCCGCGTTCTGTCTGGAAATATGTATGTGAGAGAGTGCATGGCATGCAAAGACTTGCTTTTCCTTCATTTCGCTTTGCTTGTTGTGCTGAAGGGTAGGCAGCAAGTATACTTTTCACGTTGCCACAGTGGAAAGGGTCACATGTCAAAACTTTGAAAGTGATAAAGGATATTCAGTGTCTCCTAGTCTGCTTGTTCGAGATAGTCGCTGAAACAATTTTCTCTTGTTCTTAAAAACTAAACAACAACCCAAACTGGGCGTGTTCTCTAAATGTAAGCTTGCTGTCTCTCTTCTTTGAAAGAATTGCACCAATAGAGCTCATGTTATAAAGGAGTTGATCTCTTCAAATTGATTTCCGATAGGGTATTATGGTGGGAGCAGTTTTACAACAAATTACTCAACCAACTTTCTGGGTTTGCCTCCATGTTTTGTTTGTTTGTTTGTTTGTTTTCACTTCATGTTTTAATTGTGAGTGCAGCAGAGTAAAGCCATAAACCAGTAGTTTTTTTTAGGTGTTTTTGTTTTTCTTTTGCTTCTACGGAAAGTTTGCTTTTTAGGTATTAAGAGCTTTCAATAATATCCTTTTTGCTTGTCAGTCTATATAATTTACTCCATGTGTAGTTTAAAGCCAGTATGCGAACTTTAATGGTTTAGTTTGGTTTTGCTTTTTAAAATTTAGTTGGGTGCATATGTCAACTAAGAGGAATGGTTTTCTATACTTCCTTAAATTTAGAGCAACAGAAAATGCTCTAACTTTTTTTTAAAAATTAAGACTCTCAAGATCTTGGCTCAATTCTTTCCAAAACTACATTGGAAACAATCATTATAATTTATTTGTCCAGTGTTTCCAAAGAGAAATGAATTTTCTAGAAACCTAAAGTCTGCCCTTCTAAGCATCAAAACGGTTATTTATTTCTCTGTCTCTTGGATAACCTTTTTTTCCACAATGGGCCCATCAGGATGCACGTCAGGCACTGTTCTATGGACCAGAGCGGATTGTATAGAACTGCGTAACCCTACGTTAAGAGATCCCATTGTGAGACTTTTTAAAAATAATTATTTTTGTGTCCACTTTTTATCATTTTTCTGTCCCTTCTCTTACTGTCAGCATGTTTTGGTCTTTTCCTAAGTCTTTTGCTTTGCTTCATATTTATTTTGTTAGAGTGGGAAACCAAGTAGCCACTTTTGTGAACTGATATTGAAAGTAGAAGAGGCGTAGCAGTCCATTTCTGACCAACCGGCCATTGGAATCCCTGTTTGGGTTTCTGCTTGGACACACCTGGGCTCAGAACAGACTCAACAGCTACAGGATTTTGTTTTGTTTTTAATGGATTTGGCTGTCAGATCAAGGCTCCAATTCTACTCCTCTATTAACATACTACGAACCCTGGTGACACAGTGATTAAACACTTGGCTGCTCACCAAGAGGGTGGTGGTTCAAACCCAGCTGCCACTCTGCTGGAGAAAGATGTGGCAGTCTGTTTTCATAAAGATTCCAACCTTGGAAACCCTAAAGGGCAGTTGTCCTATAGGGTCACTGTGAGTTGGAAGGGACTTGATGGTGCACATCAACCTTAGTATACTAGTCTAGAACATTGAGCAAGCTACTTAACCTTTTTTAGCTCTGAGTGCCACATCTATAGAATGGAATTACAACCCAGAGCAGTTCTGAGAAATGGGATGTGAATGGACTGTATTGGATGCTCTTCCATTTCATAAATGACATTTCAAGACTCAGTCATCTTTCAGAAAAAGTCAAGAATTTCTTCCATGAAGGTTTCCCATAGATTTATACTCTCCTTTTCTTGCACTTTATTTTCCTCTATTTATTGCCCTTTATTTTTGCCACAAGCATGAGACATTTTCCTTATTGTGTTGTAGTCACTGGTTTGTGCGTCTTTGTCATCCCTACCAGGCCTGTGAGTTCTCAAGAGTATTGACTGGTACCTGGAAGCAATGAAATATTTAGTAAATGAATTGAACTACTATGGCTTCTTTTTGTTTGTTATCAGTCCGAATAGATGAAGTTCCAGAGGAGCATGTTTCTACCCCGACAGCATTGCTTTAGCAAATATTTATTGAATATCATTTTAAGAACTGGGGGTCCAGTCTATTTCAACTCACAGCTAGCTATGTATAAGGTCAAAGTAAAACTGCCCCATGGGGTTTCCAAGGCTGTAATCTTGACAGAAGCAGACTGCCACACCTTTCTCCCTAGAAATGCCTGAAGGGCTCAATCTGCTGACCTTTCAGGTAGTACCCTAACTCTTAACCAGTGTACCACCATGCAACATGAAATATGGACCAGTGGTGAGCAGTCTTGGCACTCTACTCAAGGGGGACCTACCATAAAGTAGTAAGCAATGCATTTAGATAATGAGGAGAGGATTCCCCAAGGAAATTATATTTAAGCAGAGACCTAATGAGTGAATAAATCTTGGCCAAAGTGAGGTTTGTGAAGGTCTCATGGTAAGAGCACAAATGAGTTCTAGGAATTAAAGTGGTGCTTGGAGGATTCATGGTGAGGAGACAATGAACATTTTAAAGAGCATGCTCTGGGATCAGATCTTGATTTCATTTTTGGCTCCATTATTTTGTTAGCTCTCCAGCCATAGACAAGCTACGTTCTCCCTCTGTAACTCCGTTTCCTCAGAATGAAAATGATGTTAGTAGTTCCGTGCTGTCCTACAATGTTGCTGTGAGACTGAAATGGAAGAATCTGGCAAGTCTGGTATAGTGCATTGCCCAGCCTGTGAAAAATGCTTGCCATTCTTTCTGTTACTAGGCTTGTTGGACCTGGGAATAATGGGAAGGGCTTTCTGTCTTTCTGTGTTGTGCGTGTTTTGTTGCTTTTATTTTTTTTCTTTAAATCTCAGTTTAGGAGGCTAGAAATCTGAATCATGGCACCAGCCCTAGGGGGAGACGTTCAGCTTTGGGAATGGTCCTTGCCATCCAGTCTGCCGTGAGTCTAGGAATTTTGCAGTGTAAGGACCCCTGGTCCACAGGACGCATTTTGCCCCTGACTTTTCTTTCTTGGTGGTTGCAGGTCTCTGAAGGGTCTGGGGCAGGACGGCCACTTGATAGATGATGTGCTAGGTGAGAAGGGCCACTTTAGAAAAGCAGCATGGAGAATGGATTTTCAGGGCCAACAGTGGGTGTGTGACATCAATTAGGGGGCTATTCTAATAGTTGAAGAGAAAATTACAGTGGCCTAAGATGTGGTAGCAGAAGTTGGAAAGAGTGAATGGTTTTGGAGAGACCTTGGAGATTGAAATCATAGCATGTAGTATTTAATTGCATTTGGGGGATGAGGAAAGTAACAAATGAGTTTGAGCTTCTTAACAAATAGTGCAGTAATCTCCTGAGATGGAAGAGTGGCAGGTGGTTGATTTAAGGGAAAAAGTGTTGAGTTTTCTATTAGACATGTTAAGGTGCTTTGGGGACATTTAATTAGGAAGAGCGTGGCTTTCTGCCCTCTGTTGCTGTTCTAGTTCTGCCATTGTCATCGCTTACTTCTCCAGACTTAACCCACCCCCGGCTTTCATGTCCCCCGTCTACACTGCTGCAGAGCCATTTGTTCAAACTGGAAAATGTGTCCATGTTCCCTCTTGCTTTAGAACGCTTTGCATAGGCTAAAGTCAAAACTTCTGAAGGACATCATAAAATGTTCATCATGAACTGTCTTCCACTTAGCAGCTCTCCAGCCTCACTGACCGACCGCCTGTCCTCTGAAACCAAGTATCCATTAAATGGTAGTGCTCCATACTGCTTTCTGTTACTTGTTGGTAAGAAGCCTTTGGTGATCTTGTGACAGCATGCTTGCCTTCCATGCTGAGAGATGTAAGTTATTTTCTGGGCCCATGCACAGCCAGCAGCGAGCTGTCATGGAAATGTGCATGTTGCTGTGATGCTGAACAGGTTTCAGTGGAGGTTCCAGGTTAAGATGAACGGAAAGCAAGGCCTGGCCATCTCCTGAATAATAGCCAATGAAAACCCTCACAGGAGGCTTTCTTTTGATTTTTAAAAATGATAAAAATTCTCTTCACAAACCCTTTTATATG